ATCCATAGAATCAATAAATCATTAACAATCTTTACCTACAATAGATATTCCTCAGTTTAGCCGAAAAAGTTCGAGCGGGAAAACTTTATCCATTTTTGGTAAAATAGTTTGGTCCATTATATAGACTAGTGTTGATACTCGTGCGATGCACGGGGTGTAATACAAAAATATTTTTATTAAAATATTGTAAAAATATTTAAGATAATATGAAATTATATTCTTCACAATATTCTAGTTAGTAATAATATGACATTTATTTATTTACTATTATTGTTAATTTTTATTTTTATGTATATTTTTTTATAGTTTTTGACTATTTAATATATAAGTTTTATTATTTATAAGCTTATAAAATACTGTAAATGTATAAGATCATATTATATTTGCATACAAATTATTTATATTTATTTAGAAAATTGTGGTTTATCACAGTCTTATAATTTTTTCAACAATTCATAATTTGCACATTGTTTGATAATTAACCAACGTTCAACCCATAATATTTATCATCCGCTATAATTATTAAGTCCATTAAATGTTACAAAACCTTAATAAATAAATTTTACTTTTTAGTAACTTTAATCCTTATGCAACACACAATTTTTTTATGGTTAAATATTTTATTTTTATGTTTTTTTTATTTATATTTATTTCTTTAATTCATTTTTTCAACCTATATAATGAGTTACATAATATCTATTCAAATCTTTAAATGTATTATATGTTTCCATAATTACCAAGTGCTAGAATTTAAATTATTATACATTGCATTTTTATTAATTTATTTTTCACTTATAAATTAGTATATAAGAAAAAAAATATATATTTTAAAATAAATAGTTTTTTAATGTACATAGATACTTTTAAGGTGAAATTTATAAATCTAAATTACACCCGACTCATCAAATTTTATTTTATTAGTATATTATTTAAATTTCAATAGTATTATCACTGCATATGATATATTCACTGAGGATGTACTTTTCTTATAGTTCAATTGGCTACATTTTAGAAAATTTTATTAATATTTTAAATAATTTATTAAGTTACTATGATTTAACAATAGTTATTTTGATTATTTTATTAAATATTTTAAGTACTGAATGGGGAATATAATTAATTAGATTAATACCTACAACCATAGATGATAATATATTAATCAAATCAATTTTCATAATAATTTTTTGAGTTTTGTCAATAATAATTATTAAATTACTATAAGATCTTATTAAGAATATATATAATAAATCTACTGCTGAGTGTATGAAAATTAATTATGTTTTCCATGCATAAGGTTTGCTAATAAATAAATATTGATTAAATGCCAAATATAGACGAAAAAATTTCCTGCATAAAATTATGTCAATTATGACAATAAGGATTGGTCCATTATATAGATATATAGATATAGATTTGCAATATATTCAGCGTTGAGGCAGCATAGAAAACATTTTTTGTTTATATCGTAAGGGGTTACTTAAACATTCGTTTCCTTTTTTTTCATATTTCTATCATAACACGTGTCCTTTTATTTTCATAAAGAAATTTTTAAAGAAGATAATCTCATTAATCTTAATACTAAACTACCCCCACTTAAAACTAATGAAATTTTTTTATATGATATCTCAACTTTATCTTATTTTCA